ATATACATCTATATAGTGTTATATTTTTACTCGTGTTGAGATTTTATGCTTGAATATTTCTATGTGAAAATGTCTTTGTTATCTTCTTTGTTTTTTCTGTTTGACTCTCTTTCCCCTTTCTATTTTTCTCCAGGTTGTTGGTCTTAATGTCTCATCAGCCACTACCCCTGAGCTATTATTAAAGAGGTTTGATCATTACTGTGAGTACAAGAGGACTCCCAATGGAGTTGTGATAGCTCCTTCTCAACTCGGAAAGTGGCTGGTTCTCTTCTGTGACGAGATTAACCTTCCAGACCTTGACAAATACATGTATGGTAAAGAGTATTGATTTTACAATAAAATTAGTGAATATAAAGTTATAACAAGCTTATGTGAATCCATTGAATCCAAATACACTTTAGAGAGATATCATTCTCTTTTTAATGTTTCATTAAATAATTCTTTTTTTCTAATTAAAGGTACTCAGAGAGTACTGTTTAGTGGAAAATTTTCGTGGTTTTCTACTTTTCGGCCATCTTGAACCGTATTAAATCAATTTTCGCAGTAGTTTTTTGTGGATTTTGAAAAAGCGCAAAATCCACGAAAATTTTCCACTATATGGTAATATCGTTCGGGCCTGCCTGAAATACGGATCCACGCGGATCAAATGCGGATCAGGCTGAAATGCGGATCAACGCGAAACGCTCGCGGATCTGTATTGAAGTACGGAACAACACGGAAACTATACGGATCTTTCTGCAAGAATGATAGCTATGAATCAGGAGAGAAATTTACCAGCTCTATTTGAGTCTTTGATAGGAACTTTATCATCCTTGCAGTTTCAGTACACGCAGGTAAGCTGATGCTTGTGATCACTATGTCGATAATATTAGCCTGTGTTTTATGACAGTTGAGATCTACAGATAAGCTGATATCCGCCTCTTGAGCTATTCTCTTCAACTTTTGTGAACATGCAACCATTGCCTGTGATAATGAGAAAACAGACTACTACTAGATCTAACTACTGAGCAGTCAACACACTCAACATTAGCTCAGTGTGCCTTCATGCAGTCAAGGGACAAGTCAAGTTATTTTAAAGTGCTATCATGGCTGTACCCCCCAAGTTCAACATAGATGGCAAAGTGGACCATTGTCTGGGAATTCCAGTCTTTGTTTTTTTACTTTATCACTGTTATTTTCTAATTATTATTATTCATTCTGCATGACTTATAGAATTATTATATTTTTAATCTTTATTATCATTATTCAGCTAACTACTATTATTTATTCATTCCATCAATCATTCACAGTCGTATAGTCTCTTAAAATTTTACTATTAGCTATTGTTACTCATTCATCATTTTTGTTTATTGATTTAATCTCATTGTATTTCCCAATTTCAGTGTACTATATGCTTC